GAAGGTTGGGCAATCTACTTCCATAGTGATACTGCCTCAGAAACCCAAGGAGGGGTGGCTATGAGTTGGAGCCGACTAAACAGCACATAATAACAACAACCTGATGATGGAACAAGTAGCAAAAAAGGAGTCTGCTTCTGGCCACCCCTCTGCAGGGATCGCAGCCCCCTCAGGGGCAGCCTCAGAAGTTCCTTTATCCTCTGATTCCCCACCAAGCCTGATGGTTGAGAGAGGTGAGGGGAGCGCCCTGTGTGACCTTCACGAGTTACTTAGATTCCCTGAGCCTGTAACTTCTCCTCTGACAAATGGGCAAAATGACATACCTCCTCTGGCTATGAGGTAAAATGAGATAATACAGAAAAGGGCCTGGCCCTGGGAGATGCTTGGTTGATCTGATTCTTAACTGCCCTTCCTCCCCACCCCCCAGCTCTGGCCCTCCATCCCAAACACACACCCAAAGGAAATGGAAGCCGGACACCAAGGTGGTCTGGCGCCCAAACAGGGTGGGGTAATGGGTTATGTTGACATGGCTCTCTGTTTATAAGGGGCTTAACATCTCTGTGCCTCGGTTTCCTCAATAAAACAGTGAACATGGTAGGGGATTTAAAATCTTTGTGAGCCCTTTGTGGCCTGGAATATTAAATGGTCAGAAAAGCCTAGTGGTGCTGTGGTTAAGGCACTGGGCTGCTAACAAAAGGTTGATGGTTCAAATCCACAGCTGCTGTGCAGGAGAAAGACAAGACAGTCCCTATGAAGGTCACCATGAATTTGAATTGACTTGATGGCACTGGCTTGGTTTATAGCTGATTAGCAAGAACACCTTTGGTAGCATAGTGCCTAAGGCACTTGACTGCTAACCAGAAGGCTGACGGTTCAAACCCACCAGCCACTCCTCGGAAGGAAGATGGGGCAATCTATTTCCATAATGATACTGCCTCAGAAAACCAAGGAGGGGTCGCTATGAGTAGGGTCCGACTCGATGGCACATAACAACAACAGCAAGAACAGGGGGCAGCTTAAAGTTGCAGTGCCCTGTCCCTGCCACTAAGTGGCTTCCGAGTATAACAGATGAGAACAGGCTGTTTGCACCAGGTGCCAGGCTTTAGCCCGTCCCAGTTAGTCTCTGCAGGCCCTGATGACACCAGCTTCTTCCAAGTGGGAAAAGCCTGTCTCTCTCATGCTGGGATTCCTTTTCCATTTTTAAAGAACACAAAGATGGGAGGAGACAGCCATGATGGAGCCCTGCCTTTAGTGGTCCTGGGAATCTGATGAAGCCAATGTCCTTCATAGTCATACTTCTAGGGGATTGGATGGAGCAGTCCTGGCGGCCCTTCCTTCTCTATCTCTCCTCTCCTGTCCCAGAGGTGCAGGGTAAGGAAAACAGGGTATGCATGTGGGATCACAAGAAGTCTTGGTGGTGCTATGGTTAAGTGCTCCAGTGCTAACCGAAAGATTGGCACTTTGAACCTACCAGCAGTTACCACAGGAGAAAACAACTTGGCAATCTGCTCCCATAAAGATTACAGCCTCGGAAACCCTGGGGGGCAATTCTACCCTGTCCTATACGGTCACTATGAATTGGAATCCACTCAATGGCATCCAACAACAACATGAGGATCCTTATTCAACTTCCTGGCTGGGTTACCTGGAAAATGGAGATAACAACACCTCCACTGCAAGGACAATGTGAGGATCAAATGTCAGAATGGAAGCCTTCAATGTAGGGCAGTTTCCCAGTCCACCCCTGCTCTCCTAAGCCCTCTCCTCCTTTGCTCTGCTGTGGTTCTCCAGACAAACAAGTTTCCCCGTTCACCTGGGAGGAAGTGCTTCATCTGCAGAAATGACAACAACAAACCCATTACTGTCAAGTCAACTCCAACTCATGGCAACCCCATGTGTTACAGAGGAGTACTGCTCCACAGGGTTTTCCTGGCTATAATCTTTATGGATGCAGATCACCAGGCCTTTCTTCCGTGGCCCTGCTGGGTTGGACCTGCCAGCCACTAGGTTAGTAGTCGAGCACAAACCCCATTTCTGCCACTCACCTGCACAACTTCTGTGAAAACTATTGGGTCTCTGCAACTGGGGAGGTAATTCCCAGCCTCCTCCCCCCAAATTAGCATTTCACAAAGTCATTTTTTCTCCAAGATCTTCAGCAGAACTAGCAGGCAAAGGATTAAGAATAAAGATCACAGTACACCCTAGACCTGCAAAGTCAGTATCTCCAGGGGTGCAATCCAGACCTCCCAGTTGGAACAAGAACCGCTGAAGGATCACTGTCCCAGCTTACCAGGCAACTCCCTAGCCGACACTCTTCTTTTGGCCTAGGCTCTCAATCAGAGCAAGAAGCATGTGCTATCAGCACGTTTTATTGGGGCTGCTTTTTAGTGACTCACCCCTCAGAGATTTCCTGCAAGAGACACTCTAAATAGCTTGGTCCCTCCTCCAGCAGAGGGGACATTTTACTTGGGAAAGGACACCCAGTTCCACAGCGGGTACCTGCAGCCCAAAGAGAGAAGAGCCAGGCCAGCACAGGCGGTCCTGCAGTTAGGACGTTTGTTTACAGGCTTTTGTTATTAAGGAAATTGCTGTCAGTCAAGGTAATTCTAGCACAGAAGAGCAATAAATATGCCCCCGGCTAATCTTATGGGGATTTTATTGGCACCTCGGGGGCAGGGGTTTCTTTGCCTGGCCCACCCCCTCCTCTCAAAGGAAAACTCTGCTCCCTAGCTGTTTTCCCCTAGCGACGTGAGGGATTTGGCTCAGACTTGGAGAAAGTACACACCAAGAGAAGTTGGAAGACAACTAGGCAAAGGTCGGGAGTGGCCTCGGGTCCTACCTGGAGGCGGGGCATGGGCGTGGGGAGGATGACAAAATGACCCCTAATAGACCCTGGGCGGCGAAGTTACGTAAAGGCCTGTACAAGTCTCCCCTGGGCCTGCCCCGAGTGCGGGGGTAGTCACTTCGCCCTCTGGCGCCCCTGCTTGGGGAAAACGCGTCCCAAGCCAGGAGGAATGTCTTGGGGAGAGAGCCGGTTCGCAGGAGTCGGTTCCTGCGTGTTCCAATTACAGCTGCAAGCATTCAGGGGCACAGTCCGCAAGTCCCGGCTTGCTAAAGAGGGAAGCCAGGCCTAGAGAGCGCGAGTCGGGGCAAGCCTGGGTACGCGCCCGCGCGCGCGCTCCACCACGGCGCAGGGGGAGGGGAGCCGCAGCAGCCACTCAGAGGCACAGTAGTGAAACCTCCGAACACTTTAACTGTCAATCAGACTTAACGGGGTATTAAAAAAAAAAAAAAAATGTGGGGAAGAAAAGGGCCGTCCTCTCGCTGCGCGCAGCGGCTGCCGGGGGGAAACGAATGAATAAGGCGGCGCGGACCAGGGCGTCGGGTCCTTGCGCGCTCCGCACCCGGGCCCTCTCCAAGTTAGAAAGGAGAAAAAGAAGGCAATCCATATTTAAGAGAGAGAGGGAGCCCGATCGTGCGGCAACTCCCAGCTTCTGCTGGAGGAGCGAGGGAGGGAGGGAACCGGCTCGAGCGAGCGCGCGCGAGGGCGAGCCAAGCACGGAGAGAAACTGACACCCGGACCCCCCACTTCTCCTGCACGTTGCTGGCAATCAAAGCGCGTTTAAGCAATTTCCTGAGCCCAAGAATAGCAACGAGTCGGTAGACTTTTGCCGGCTCAATTGGGGCTCTCCAAATACTTCCGCCCCCTTTTTGTTTTTTTTTTTCCTGGAGAAGGGGGGGGGGTGCCTACAATTTGGAAACGGCGTTTTATTTATTTATTTTTTTATCTTGCACTTTGAAACCGCAGGGCCGTAGCAGGGTGCGCGCGTGTGGTTGGTGCTTTTTTTTTTTTTCCTCCCCTTCCCTGCCTAAACTCCTCTGTCAGCCTGTAAACATTACCTGAGAATTCCCCAGCCGAAACGGCTGCCGGGGCAAGAAACTTCTTCTAAGAACTTTCCACCTCCGGCTTCTCTTCCACCCCTCTTAGCGTCCCAACTTTCGGAGACGTTTTTTCTCCTCCCGAGGCGAATTTTTTTCTTTTTCTTTTTCCTCACCCGGTACTTAGCATTTGGGAAGAGTTGATTTCACGAGTGGCCAGGTGGGACGCCTCCCTCCTCCAGATTCGGTTTATTTATTATTGTTTGGGGTGTTTTCTTTTTTAATTCTGGTTTTGTTTGGTCAGGGGAGTTTAGCCCCCTGTCTGGCTCAGCGACGCGGAGGATGGTGTGGAAATGGCTGGGCGCGTTGGTGGTGTTCCCTCTGCAGATGATCTATCTGGTGGTGAAAGCCGCCGTCGGACTGGTGCTGCCCGCCAAGCTGCGGGACCTGTCGCGGGAGAACGTTCTCATCACCGGCGGCGGGAGAGGCATCGGGCGCCAGCTGGCTCGCGAGTTCGCCGAGCGCGGCGCGAGAAAGGTACGGGCACCGCGCCTCAGGGGAGGGAGCTGAGGGCGAGGAGAGCTGCGGGAGGGGGGATGTTGCGCCCACCTGCTACTGCTGCCGGATCTAGCTCCTGGGAGCTGAGTCGCCCGCCGCCCGCCGCCCGCAGCCGCACTCCTTTGCGCCACCGGCGAATGCTGAGCTAGTCAGTTTCACCTTGTAATTTTCCCGGGCACCCAGCTGTCTTTTTTTGGCAGATCCTGAGCTGGTCAGCTCCTTTGGGATTGTTGGCTGGCTGGCTGACTCTGCACCCCCACCCCGAAACTTAGGAGACCCACCCATTTCCCACATTCCTCCCTCCCGGAGGAAGGTGTTGTGTTTTCCCCTCTCGCCTTCCTCTCTTTGCCGCCACCCTGGGAGTGCTGGGTGTGTGCGCCCCTGGGTATTGCTGGGAGCCGCCTGCTAGCTGGCGCCTCGTATTTTCCTTGGCAACCTGTTTCCCGGCCCCCACCTGGGCGGCTGCAACTCTGAAGATACCATGAGAAGGGGATGCTTGGTTTGGGTTTGAAAAGTGGGGAGCAGTCTTGGGACAGTCTAGCCTGGCAGGCGCTAGGAGACGGAGGGGCTTAGGACTCTGGAAGGAGGGAGGGCTGGGGTAACCAGAAGCTGATAAAGAGCCCTTGTTCTCACCTTCAATCCTGCCCCTTCCCCCAGTACAGCTCCAGAGGGGATCCCTTCCTCATTTAGCATGGAGGTGGCTCTGTGGGGAAGGGAGCCCTCCAACCCTAGGCACTGCCTTTCACTTTTTGGTTCCCAGCAGCTCTTCCCCCAGTTTTCACAGACCTGGTGCTTAGGGAGAATAGGGAGGGTGAGGCGGCTGTCACCCAACCAGGGCTCTGGCTCAACTGACTCACCCAGTGACAAGAGCAATGGGAGAGGGATTTGAGGCTGTCTGCAGCCAACCCTGTGAAGAGGAAGAGCAAAAACAGGGAATTAGTTTGAAACTTAAACTGTTGGGGGTGGGGGGTAGGTGAAAGGGCCAGCAAAGCCAGCTGATCTGACGTGGAGCCACATACCTTGGAGATTAAGTAAATATGTACTGTAGAAAACCAAACCTGCATGTAATTCCAGGTTGCTTTTGTTTTGTTAAATACTGCCCTGAGATTTACAATTCCACCGGGGTAGCTCTGACTGGGGCTGAACTTTGGAGCCTGAACTATCAGCCAAAGCCGATTGCCCATTAACTCTTCCCTAGCCAGGCTGGTGGGGGCCAAGCTAGCTGGAGTCTGGGTGTCCAGGACTCCCTACTTCTCCTTGGGTGGTTTGGACAGCTGCTTGACCTTGTACTCAGAAGGGGAATTCGGAAGTGTTTTTAACCCTTGAGCACAATGAATAAGGGGAAGTAAGAGTCCCCCACCCCACCTCCGGCAATTTCATTGCCTTCGGGGCTATGCTGCACTGAGGGGCTTCCAAAGCCCTTTGCTGAGGGGCATCAGGAGGGTGGACAAAACCTCCCTTGGGTCAGGACGGGGAGAAGGGGATGTGGGATTGATTAGTGCCCCGGCGATTGCATGTGCTTGTCCTTCCTTCACTGTGTGCATCCCAGAGGAGCTTTCTCTGAATCTCCCAGCTGGCCCAGACTCTGGGTCTCCTTTGCTGCTCTTTAACTCACTGCAGTAGGCATCGGCCGGACTCTCCTAGTCAATCTGGAAAAGCTTGACTGACTATAAACAATCCTCAACTGAAAGAAGAACATGGCATGGGTGGGGGGTTAGAATAGTGCAGAGTGGAGCCGGCAAGTTCAGGCATCCTCTACCAGGAAATAAACCTAGGGCTGACTAGAAATAAGACTTAAATTGGTGTCAGGGTCACAGAAAACAGGATCCAGGGAGGCCTATGAGACTTCCAGTGCCATTCACTTTAGTTTCAGCCTTTGGACCAATCAGGATGACCATGAGCACTCCCTGGAACTTATAATTATCTGGCCAATTACTGGAGCTACTTTCTAATGAGCCTTCTGTTGATGTCAAGGTGGGGAATTTGGAAATCGTGGCTTCTTGCCTGAGTCCATCTGTGGCCAGTGAGAGGGCCTTGGGATAATTCCCAGGCCCATGAGTGCTTGGGGAGACCAGTGAGCCTGGGGGCAAAGGGCCCAGTGTTGTGGGGGTGGGAACATCACAGGAGCTGGCTAAGTGACTTGGGGACATGGTGGAACAGTGGGTTTGGGAGTGGTCCAGGACCAGCTGCAGAGGGCCAGGGGGGACCAGGCGCCAGCCGCAACCTGCAGTGAAGTTAGACAGGCGGCGATGTTGAACTGCAGATGACTGTCCTCCTCTCTCTTTGGTGGAAGTAGAGGCAGCCTTTCAGAGCCCTTCCAGCCTGTGTTCTGGTAGGGCTGGATATAAAGGGGGACCAGAGGTTCTGCAAACAACTGACACATCCAGAAGAGGCCTGTTGATTTTGAGGGGGAGGTGACAACCAGTCCCCATAATGACCCAGGTCAATGACCTTGAGTCAAATGGGATTTAGCAATATTTGTGGCATTTGGCAATATTTGTGGGCGGTCGTGAGCCTTAGGCTGTAAAGATGACTTGAATGATGGTTCTTCTTAAAGGGACACAAAGACTGTAGAAGGCATTTGAAAATTTCTAACCTGGAGACATCTCTCCTTACCCACAAGGTACCCAGGTTGCCTGAGGCTGGGCCAATTGTGGTTAAGATCTCCAAGGGTAGAGTTCTGGCTGGGTTGTCCCTTACTACGATTCTTTTTTTGTTATTTTCTATGCTCTCTTAGAATTTCTCCCATGAAAGCATTCACAAAGCTCGGGCCCCTTTCCCTACCAAGGCTCCTGGCTAGTTAGTCGACCCAGTCTCCAAACGCTTTGAGTTTAACATGGTGTCTTCAGGAGTCTCCTGGAGAAGGGGGCTATTTTTGAAAGTATTTGCCATGATGGTTCCAGTCTTTAGTCCAGGATTGGGCAAATAGTTGGACTGGAGCACTGGGCTGTGATTACAGACCTGTGGAGGAAGTGAAACATAGGTGGACCCACCCCCTCCATCAGTGGGAGAGATAGAGCTAGGATCCAAGGACATAATTCATGGAGGTGATATGAGAACTGGCTTAGGCTGTATCTGCCTTGCTATCAGTGAATTTACGGTATGTGGATGGAGAGCCCTGTTCCTAAAGCAGCTAGCCAGGAACCAGCCCTCTAAGTTTAAACCTATTCTCCATCACATTCATTCAAGTCTCACATCCCTTCTAACTATTGGGCAGAACCCAAGCTCATCTCTCCCATGACAACCATTTTTGAGAAACCTAAACAAACCTGTCTGAAGTGTGCCTTAAATGCATGGCACAGGTCTGGACCCTGTTGGGGATGGAAGGGATATGCAAAGATGAATAAAAGCGTGGAGACAGTGGTCAGGTGTTACAATCAAGGCATAAATTAACAGTGTGTTACTATGAGACTGGAAACTACCAGCATAAAATAAAGCAGGATCACCCATGGTAATCCAATGGAGCTTCCAGACTAAAATAGACTAGTGAGACCTGGTTGTCTATTTCCAAAAATTTGCTAGTGAAAACCCTATGGATCATAACAGAATATTGTCTAAGATTTCACTTGCTTACTTTGGACATGTTATCATGCTGGAGAAGGACATCATGCCTGGTAAAGTAGAGGGCCAGCGAAGGCAAGGGAAGCCGTCAATGAGACGGATCGCCACAATAGCTGCAACAATGGACTCGTGCATACCAGCAATCATGAAGATGGTGCAGTCTGAGCAACGTTTAGTTCTGTTATTCACAGAGTCATCATGAGCCAGAGCTAAAACCAATCCAGTGGCAACTAACAATATCCATAATTAGTTTTCTAGAGCTGCCGCAAGTCACCACAAACTTGCTGCCTTAAAACAAAAGGAATTTATTCTCTCACAGTTCTGGAGGGCAGAAGTCCAAAATTAAGGTGTCTGCGGGGCCATACTCCTTCTGAAGAGTGTGAAAGGGAGAATCCTTTCATGCGTCCTCCAGCTTTAGGTGCCTTCTGGCATTCCTTGGCTGTGGCCTTCTCCTCTGTGTCATCACATGGACTTCTCTGTGTCCTCCCTTCTTCTTTTAGGGACCTCCCTAAGTCCAGTGTGAGCTCATCTTGAAATCCTTAACTAATTACATCTGCAAAGGCCCTATTCCAAAAAGCATCACATTCTAAGGTTCCAGGTGGACATGAATTTTGGGGGACTCCATTCAACCCACTACGCAATGGAAGCACAGTGGAGTTGTTAATCTAGAGCAAGTGTTCCCAGAAGGCTTCACGGAGAAGATAGAGTTTCAACAGAGGGGATAGAAGAAGGGTAGTCTGGGTACAAGAAAAACACCTGATCAAATAGTGTATATCTGGTGGGACTAGGGCAAGGAGGTGGAAAGGAAGGGAAGAAAATGTGGTATAGAGGGTTAGGGAACCGGGGAGGTAAGCAGGGGGCTTACATCTCAGGCTTTGAGCCAACTCCATACTGGTAAGAATAGAAAACAAAAGAAGAGAGGAGAGGGGTCCAGACAGGTAATCTTGTGGGACCCAGAGTCATCAGACCAAATTAGTGAGTTAATTTGATTATTCAGCACACATTGATGTGTGCTGAAGGTTGCAAAGCCAGGGATGGGGATGGGAAAGAACAGGGCCCCATCTCCCCCCTGCTGGCCCTGAATGCAGCCTTTTCTGGGAATTTTTGTGGAAAACACCAGACCTCACTGTGACTTGGCCTGGGAGCAGGAAGGTAACCTACCTGTCCTATCTGTGACATTTGGGAAAAGTTCTTCCTAGAACAATGGGCCTTACAATATGGGCTGTTCCATGAATAGACAAACACTTCCCTCTACTACCCCACCCCCTTTTCATTATACTGTCCACACTGGGACTGTCCACACTAGGAGACGAGAGACTGCATTCTACACCTTGTTCTACTAAGACCGGAGAAAGTCGCTGCCTTCTCTGAGACACAGCTAAGAAGCATACCTTTGAAATGAGAGAGAACACAGTGAT